TCTTGTTATTTTCTGCTTTGTATTTAATGGAATTAGACCAGCCTATGAATTTTCCCCCCAATTCTTTCTTTCTTCTTATTTTCTATAACAGACAGCAGAGGGGAAGGTGTCTGTCTTGCTCGGCTCTCTATCTCTGCACCATGCTGGGAGAGTGCCGTATTCCCAGGGGCCTTGTCAATCTTCCTGGGGAGGTGGGACCACAATCAACATCTTGAAGGATCCCAAACTCCTGCCCCAGATAAGACACGGGTCTATAAAACAAATCCTAGAGTGGAACAGCTCTCCATCACCCAGGAGAGGAGAAAATGTTCTGTGCAGGAGAATTGTTTATTTTCATCCACTCATTCACTTATTAAGTATCACTATTGGCCAGGCACTAAGGGTACAGAAGTGAACAAAGCCATCATTGATCCTGCCCAAGTACACTGCCTGGCGTACAGTAGGTGCTCAATAAGCGGTGGCCACTGTTGATTATCATTCTTCTGGAAGTATCTATGATAGTGCAAGATATTTACTCATGTTCAACAAATGTTAGTTTCCTCCCTTCTAGAGACACTATCTTGGTACGATATCTGTTTATTGGTCTTTGTTATTGTTTTAATACAAAAAGAATAGAGGGATGAAATTAAAATGTTCACTCTGGCCTAGTCTGGATTAGAAGATAGTCATTAGATACAAAAAGACGTGTAATTAAAAATTGTGATAACCGGGATAAAGAAAAAGCACAGGGTGATACGGGAGGATTTCATTTAGAAAGGGGTGGGAGAGGAATCTGGAGCCTGCGTCTTAAAGAAGCATCGCAAGAACAGGAAACCAGACACGACACGTTCTCACTCATAGGTGGGAACTGAACAATGAGAACACTTGGACACAGGAAGGGGCACATCACATACCGGGGCCTGTTGTGGGGTGGGGGAGGGGGAGGAATAGCATTAGGAGATATACCTAATGTAAATGAGGAGTTAATGGGTGCAGCACACCAACATGGCACATGGATACATACGTAACAAACTTGGACGTTGTGCACATGTACCCTAGAACTTAAAGTATATATATGAAAAAAGAAGCGTCACATAACCCAGTGGCTCTCAAAGTGGGGTTCTCTCAGCCATAGAAGCAGCAGCATCAGGAACTTACTAGAAATCTACATTTTCAGGCTGCCCCAGAACTACTGAATCAGAAACTTTGGGCACCAGCCCTTCCAGGTAACTCCAATATTCTCACAAGTGTGACAACTGCTTATGTAAGCTGAGACCGGAAGGAGGAGTTGGAGTTGGCCCAGTGGTGGGGAGAAAGAAGGCTTTCTAGGTGGAGAAGATAGCACGGACTGGGGCCCCGAGGCAGGAAAGGCCACCAGGGCTAGGGTGTAGGGAGGGAGTGTGAGAATCAGACCTTTCAGTGTCTTAGAACAACTGGAAAGAGTGTGAATTTTCTCCTAAGTCCACCAGGATCCCCTAGGGCAGGGGTCACAGTCTGTGGCCTGTTAGGAACCGGGCCGTACAGCTGAGTTGAGTGGTGAGTGAGTGAGTGTTACTGCCTGAGCTCTGTCTCCTGTTAGCTCAGCAATGGCATTAGATTCTCATAGGAGGCTGGGTGCGGTGGCTCACGCCTGTAATCCCAGCACTTTGGGAGGCCAAGGCAGGTGGATCACTTGAAGTTAGGCGTTCGAGACCAGCCAGGTCAACATGGAGAAACCCTGTCTCCACTAAAAATACAAAAATTAGCCAGGCATGGTGGCAGGTGCCTGTAATCCCAGCTACTTGGGAGGCTGAGGCACAAGAATCGCTTGAACCTGGGAGGTGGAGGTTGCAGTAAGGCAAGACTGCACCACTGCATTCCAGCCTGGGTGACAGAGCAAGACTCTGTCTCAAAAAAAAAAAAAAAAACCACCACCACCACCAACAAAATTCTCACAGGAACTGTGCATGCAAAGGATCTAGGTTGTGCACCACTTGTAAGAATCTAATGCCTGATGATCTGAGACGGAACGGTTTCATCCTGAGACCATCCCCACCCCACCCATGGAAAAACCATCTTCCACGAAATCAGTCCCTGGTTCCAAAAAGGTTGGGGACCACTGCCCTAAGGAGTTCTAAGCAGAGAAATGAAGCCACAGGGTGTCGATGTCATAGAGTCCTATCACTGCCCACAGCTGGCTCCCAGCTGCTCCTGGTACTTCCCTGGCCTCGCCTGCCCTGTTGGAGGGGCCCTTCTCAGTGCCTGAGAAAACAACACTCTTGGGTGGTGCAGGAGGTCCTGGTAGAAGGCTCTTTCTTTTCATTCCATGCCTTTTGATACATGATGGGATTTTCTGTCTTCATATTTTATTTTTACCTCTTTTCAAATATCAATAAGTGGCATCGAAACAGTGGGATTATCCGTTATTTTTGTTTCTGCTCCACAAGTTCTTGAATTTTATGATATAAAAGCAAACAAAATTTTATAAAGTCAATATTTATCAAATATTACATGTCAGTTTTTTTTTTTTTTTTGAGACTTCTCTCTTCATTCATTCAACAAATATTTTGTGAGCCCCTGCTGTGCCCTGGGCATTGTGCAGGCATGGGGATAGAAACGGAGACCAGCATTCTGCCTCCACGGAGCATCTGTGCTCATGGCAGGAGTCAGACCAACAAAGTCCAAGAGCAAAATGTATCTCAGAGTCTGCCTGGGAAGGGGAGTGAGGCATCCCAGGTGGGGCTGGTCAGGGAAAGCCTGAGAAGGTGGTGGCTGCGCACAGCCTTGGGGAGAGGAGGCAGCAGCGTGGGGGGGATGAGCAGGTGGATAGGGATGGGAGGCTCATGAGCAGGTGGATAGGGATGGGAGGCGGGAACAGCAAGCACTGAGGTGCTGAGCAAGAGCAGGAAAGGATGCAGGGTTTAGTGGGAGGAGGAGGAGAGGACAGGGAGAAGTGGGGAAGAGCCTCACTCAGGATTTTGGCTTTTATACAGAGTGACACAAGAGCCCATGGGCAGGGCACTGGGTATTCTGACATTCTGAAAGGGCCACTGGGCTGCTTGCTGAGAACAGCTGGTGAGAGCGGCAGGGCAAGAAGGAGAGAAGGGAGCTGGCAGGAGAACCTGATACAAACCAGGTGGGAGCAGATGGGAGCCTGGGCTAGAGCAGCGGAGGGTGGGATACAGTCAGATGCTGGATGGCCTCTGAACTGAGTGTCAGCGGGATCTGCTGCTGGGCCAGAAAAGGGATGAGAGACGAGGCTTGACGATGACCTGAGTGATGAAAAGACAGCACTGCCACTTATGAGGCCGGGGAAGGCTAGGGGAGAAGCCAGCGTTTCTAGGGGAAGGAGTTGCTGGTTAATTCAGTGTTGGGCATGTGAAATTTGAGATGCCATTGTGTTGCTTTGGATGTCCCAAGGGGCAGATGCCAAGACAGGATTGGACATGGGAGAGACTTACTGGGGGCAAAGGCTGTGAAGGACAAAGGGGAGGCAGCAGGCGCTGGCAGACTGCCATGCAGGCCTGGCACCCATGAAGGAGAGGGGGATGGAAGGAGGCCTGGGAGGAAGAGCTTCCAACCACAGCACAGCTCCAAGAGCGTTCACTCAGGCCGATGGAAGGTCCTTGAGCCAAAACCTCCCACGGGGTATCCAACATCCCACAGGTGCGGACCTGCCCTGGCACCACCCCCTCTAACCCCATCCCACCTGCTCAGCTATTGACTGGGAGAAGCCCACATCATGTGTGACTTCAGCACGCCATAGGGGTGGGCCCATTGGGGCAGCAGTGGGGTGTCGGTCACCGTGGTCCCCTCAACAGAAGGTGTGAGTGGAGCAATTTTACAGCAGCCACAGGCTATTAGACACGTAAGTAGAGATATGTAGTAGGCAGTTTAGATATACGAGCGTGGAGTTCAATGCAAGGTTCAAGGAAGAGATAAAAATTTAAGTGTCTTCAGCTTATAAATGGTATTTAAAGGCATGAGAATGGATGAGTGCGTGCACAGCTGGCGGGGACAAACGCTCCAAGGACTGAGTCCTGAGGCACGTTTGCATTTAGAAGAGTCAGCAACAGTGACCAGGGAGGTAGGAGGGAAACCAGGAGTCTGTGAGGTCCCAGAAGTCAAGTCAAGAAAATGCTTCATGGAGGAGGGAGCACTACCTTTCAGAAAATCGCCCGTCACACTAGTGAGCATCCTCACAGGCCAGGCAATGTGCTAAGGGCTCTGCGTGCAACACCACACTCCACGGTTCCTCTCCCCTGTTGTGGTTGGTGGGTGTGCTGTGCTGCCCGGATGCCCTGTCAGGGCCAACACAGCCATTCCCCAGTTGCTGGGAGTGTTGGCTGCTGAGGCTAAAGGTCACACCCCCTCCCTGGGGACAGCCTATACCCAGAGACAGTTGACACAGCCTCCCTGCCACATTTGGGACATCTCAAGTGGACCATCTGGCTTACAAGCGCCTAGTGGGACCAGCTGAAGCCTCCGTTGTAGCTACAGAGTCAGGCAGATTCCTCCATCAGAGTAAAGAACCGCTGACTGCATGGGCTGGGAGGATGGGGTGCTACTTACTACATCTTATCTTAAAGAGTCTTTTGGATGCTTCGGTGAGAAACAGAAAACTCGCAGACTTTCTAGCCAGTCCATTGTAAATTGTGACCCACTTCACCCTCTCCTGACACTCCCACCTTTCCCACCACTTTTCCTCTTTTCTATAGCACTTACCACCTGCCAACCTGCGATTTAATTTCCTTATTTATTTATCTACTGTTTATTATCCATCTTCCTTCTTTCCCACAATGTCAGCTCTAGGAGGGCAGGGATATTCATCCGTTTTGTCCACTGATGTATCCCAAGTGCCTAGAACAGTGTCTACTGCATAGCAGGTGCCAGGGTACATGCACAAAATGAGTTCCCAGATGGGCTGACCTTCAAGAGTTTGCAGCCCAACTCTCCGTTTTTGCTGAATCCCACCATCCCATGTGAAGAGAATGAACCAAACTTCCAGACCCACAGAGGCAGCATGGGGTGCTGGGACTTACCACAGTTAGGAGGCAGTCTCCTCACCCACAAAGTGGGATGCCAGGGATGGTCCGATCGCCACATGGTCACAGGGAGCTGCCTCGAAGCCTTCCTGTAATGCTGTCAGTGAGGCCAACTCTACGGATGGAACCCATAGTCCAAGTCGAGTCTGAGGCCGTTTCAGGGGCATCCTCAGCACCTCAGTGGTGCTGGGAGGGAGGTTCTTTGAGATCTGCACACACTGAACTCCTACAGGAGGAGAAGACAGACCCATGTTAGACTGATGGCTGCTCTGAAATGGGGGACTTATTGTGAGATTCCTGTACTAGAGAAAAGAGACTCAGTTATTCCTCGTGGTAAGCGGGCATGGCTTTCAATGGGAAGTCCTGCCTTTGCTATTTCCCAGCCATGTGACCTTGGCCAAGTCAAAAAAATATCCTGGAACCTCATTAGCTGTCACTAACTGTCAAATGGGAAATGAGTGAGATTATGTGCCTGAAAATGTTTTGTAAATTCCAGGGCAGTGGTTCCCAGACTTTGAGATTTCATAGACAAGGGAAGTTTCCAGTAATCTGGAGCTCACATAAGGATTCCAGCCTTCTATTTTGCCACCTAAGGACATTGAAACACAAGCAAGCAACGAAGCGGTGGCTTGCCCATCGTCACTATTCTGTCCTCAAAGGCGGAACACACTTTACGCTAAAAATGGAAGAAGGCCAAAAATCTGAACAAAAGATAGTCTTTGCAGCTTGGGGAAAAAAAAAAAAAGTGAACTTAAAGGAAAAACTCACTGACTTGTCCTTGATTTTCTCATGTTGCCAAAGACAAGGGAAGTTTTTCTCTGGGAACATTGTGAAATGATGAGATGAGAGCGCTGGGATGGCGCACCCAGGCAAACAAGAGGAGCTGCGGACCATGGAGACGGAGACCCAGAGCTTCAGGCTCTCAGGGGCTGAGGGGGTCAAAGCCTCCACCCACCTGACACCCATTTGAAGCATGCTGGTGCACAAAGGAACTGCAGGTGGGAAGCTTTCTGTAGGGTTCTCTGTGGAGGACAGAGTAAAGAGCTTCTCTTCACAGGAGTGAACTGGGAGTCAGGACCTGGTTAGCAGGAACACAACGTCCGTGCGGTCAACCCGGAGCACTGAGCACTGTGCGAAAGGCTTCTTGAAAGTTATAGGAAGGAACTATTATTCGTTTTGCAGCTTGGGAAACTGAGACACACAGAGGTTTCCGTGGCTTCCCCAAATCTCACAGTTAGTAACAGAGCTGGGGCCCTCATTCAGCCAGCCTGGTTGCAGAGAAAGTGTGTTTAACCACTCACTCCAAAGCATGACCTCCAGAGCGAGGAACGGGCTGCTCTGCTGATGCAAAGAGGCAGATTTCTAGCAGAATCGGCCTGATCCTGATGCTCACAGGCTGGCATGTTGGGTCCAAGGCAGCAAAGCTACTTTTCTGTATGAGTTTCCCACTGTAAAGGGTTGAACAATGACCTCCATAAAGATGTGTCCAAGTCCCAAATCCCTGGAATCTGTAAAGGGGGCTTTATTGACCTTATTTGGGGAAAGGGCTTTTGCAGAGGTAATTAAAGATCTTGAGATGAAGGATGGGTGCAATGGCTCAGGCCTGTAATCCCAACACGTTGGGAGGCCAAGGCGGGCAGATTACTTGAGTCTACAAGTCCAAGACCAGCCTGGGAAACATGGTGAAACCCCATCTCGACAAAGAATACAACAACGAGCTGTGATGGTGTGTGCCTGTGCTCCCAGCTGCTTGGGAGACATGGAGGAGAAAGCCACAAAAGGACAGAGGCAGGGACTGGAGGGATGCCAGTCTGGGAGCCCCAACGACTGTGCAGCCCCCAAGCTGGGGGAGAGCCTTGGAAGGGATCCTTAGAAAGCAACTCTGCTGACAACTTGAATTTCGACTCTGGCCTCCCGAATTGTGGAGAAATACATTTCTGTTGTTTTAAGCCACCAGTTTGTGGTAGTTTTTAAAAGCAGTCCCAGGAAACTCACACATCCCCTTTCCTACTTCCTCCGCGCCAGCTTCCAAACCTCTCCCCCAGGAGAGGATCAGAGAATTACGCCCAGCCCTCCAGCAGTGAGCTGCTCCCCCACTCCATTCATCTCCCCGTTCCTCACGTTCATCCCCCACCGAACCCACCGACAAAATGCTGAATCGGCGGGTGAGATCCCCATAGCAACGGCTCCGATGCCAGAACCCAGGATTACGACACCGGATCAGCCAGAGACGCGCTGGAGGGGCCCAGGAGGGGCTGCTGCGAAAACGCCGGGCAGAGGGGCGGCAGCGCGCGGCAAATCCCCCGGGGCTTACGGGAGCGGCTCTTCAGGAGACAGCGCTGGACGAATCGGGCGGGGTGGAGGGGGGGATCATCTGCAAGCGCCAACGCAAAACCGCCGCAAGACGTGCCAGGCCGGGAGGCTCCTGCGTCCGGCCCGCGCTATGGCCCTTGCGCGGGGACAAAGACGAGGCCATCGCCCTCGCGTGTTCCCAAAGACACCCACATCAGGAGGCTGCTCCCTCCGCCGCCTGGGAGGGTCCCACTCGCCCTGGCCCCTGAGGACGTCCCCTCGGGGATGTGCCTGACGGGGCGCTCCTTGCCCTCTGACCTCCAGCCTCCAGCCTCCTTGCTCTGCCCGCGTGGATGCAGCCCCCGGTTCAGACACTAGCGGGTGCGCGGGACCGCCCAGGGCGGGCGGGGGGGACACGGCCCTCCCTCCCCTGTAGTCCCCCAAAGCCCCCGGACGTCGGACGTCGGACGCCGGACGCGGCTGCCGCGCCCCCTGCTGGCTCCCTCCGGCAGGCTCCCGCGTCCCGCTGGGGCTCCTCTCCCGCAGCAGCAGCGCGGTCAGCGCTTCCCCGCCCAGGGACCTCCACAACTCCCCACCGTTCCCGTTCCTGCTGCCGCCGCCCTATCCACCCAGGCTCCTGTCACCCACCACGGGCGTTCACACCCTCCCGTCCATCGGCCTCCCCCGGCCCGACGGTCCTGGCTCAGGCAAATCTCAGCCTGCATTTCCCCAAGGAAGTCCCCCTCCACGCACACACCCTACACTCACGCATTTACACACACACGCCCTCACACACGCACAGTCAAATGCAGACACCCCCACACTCACACGTACTCACACACACACCCTCACGCGCTCACACATTTACACACAGTCACACGAAGACACATTCATATACACTCTATTACACACATTCACACACACACCCCTCACACATTCTCACACATTTACAGCCTCACACACACATTCCCACATATTCCCACACGCCCATGCCTACACACTCACATTCACACACCCTAACACAGTCACAGACAAACACAGAGACACACACACAGAATCACACAAACATACCCACACAGACACACACACAAACACACAGAATCACATATACACACAATCACGTATACAAACACAGAGACACACACACAGAATCACATATACACACAGAGACACAGAGAATCACATATACACAGAGACACACAGAATCACATATACACACACAGAGAGACATACACATACACACAGAGACACACAGAATCACACATACACAGAATCACATATACACACAGACACACACACAGAATCACATATACACACACAGAGACACAGACTCACACATACACACAGAATCACATATGTACACACACACACACACAAAATCACATATATACACACACAGAGACACACAATCACATATACACACATACAGACTCACATTTACATGACACAAACTCACACAGACACACGCACTCATTCACACAGACACTCATTCACACACACACATACACAGAATCACATAGACACACACAGAGACACAATCACATATACACACAGAGACACACACAGAGACACACACAATCACATATACACACACAGACACACACAATCACATATACACACAGAGACACACACAATCACATATACACACACACACAATCACATAAACATACACAGAGACACAATCACATAAACACACACAGACACACAGAATCACATATACACATACACACAGAGACACAGGCATACATTCTACACACATTGACACAGACTCATCCACACACAGACACCCCCTCACACAGGATCACACCACATGCACACTCATTCACACACAACAGACACCAACACACACAGAAACTCATTCACAGACTCACACAGCACACACACAGATCACAAAAACTCACAGACACATATACGCACACACATTCACACACTCATGCAAGATACATGCAAATACAGAGACACACGCAGACACACAAACACACATACAGACCACTCACAGATACACACACACCAATGCACACAGGTACACTCATTTGCACACCACACACCCACTTACACACCAATATACATGCTGGCACACTCATACACAGACCTATAAACACATAGAGCCACCCACACTCAGACATACTCATTTGCATACCCACTCAGCAATACACACAGACTCACATTCACATACATGACACAGAGACAAACTCACACAGGCACACACACCCTATTATGCACATTCTCACAACAGACATGCTTACACACATTCACACACTCACACAGGCACACACACACATCTCCTACTGAAGCCCAGGCAGTGTCTACCACCTACCCAGACACTGTGGACAGTGGAGTGGTGAGAGGCACAGGTGTGTTCAGGTCAGGCAGGAGGGATCTGAGCAGAGGCATCATGAGCCCAAGGGTGCCTTGGTGGCAAGGACATCACCTACTATTTCTCTGCATCTTCCCCCCCACCCCAAGTCATGCAGCACAGTGCAGGGCACACAGGTTTGTCATAAGTGTTTCTTCAATGAGCAAACAGGAGCTACCCAAGCTTCAATGTAGGTAAGAATGCATAGTGGCCGCCATTTTACATGTTGAACTTGGAGCTTCAAAGCAGCCTTGGATAAAACCACTGGGCCATTCTCCAAAAAAGAAGAATGGGAATGTCAACATCCTTAATTGTCTGCCTGTATTCTATGTACTTCCTGACTCAGAGCCTTGATTGACAAAATCCCCGTTCCAAGAAAATCTCCCTGCATCACTGTAGGCACTGTGTATTTGGCAAGTAGACTTTCAACTTTGGGTTGTGGCATGAATAAATAAATGACTAAATCAGCAAGCAGTTTTCCTTGCACCTTAGCACAGGTCTGAGTACAATAAAGGCATCCGTCAAGATGGGAGGGTGGTGGGTGGGAGTGGCCTTTAAAAGATGGGAGTTCTGCCTCAGCTCACTACTTGGTCGGCCACAGTGGCTCATGCCTGTAATCCGAGCACTTGGGGAGGCTGAGGTGGGAGGATCATTGGGACCCTCGGGTGGAGGTTGCAGTGAGCCATGATAGAACGAGATGTTGTCAAAGAAAGAAAGAAAAGAAAGAAAAGAAAGAAAAGAAAGAAAAGAAAGAAAGAGAGAAAGAAAGAAAGAAAGAAAGAAAGAAAGAGGAAGGAAGGAAGGAAGGAAGGGAGGGAGGGAGGGAGGGAGGGAACCCAAAAAGCAAAAACCAAAAACCTCACTTCTAAGGCACTTTCTGGAATCGTTCCACTCCACTCTGATCTCCCTCTTTAGTGGGCATCATTTTGGTAAGTAATGAACTCACCCTGAGCCCCATTCCTGTGTGGGATTAACCATTTCACTATCCTGGATGTGTGAGTATGTGTGAACCTATCGCCATCACCTCTTCTCCCATTAGTCTGTAATTCCACCTGAGCAGATCGGGCTGTTTCCATCAAGATTTCTTTGGCAACGATGACACAACTCTGCCAGCAGCAAGTGTCCAGCCAGACACCTGGGTCACCCCCTAGTTGGAGGGTGCTGGGGGAAGCTCTGGCATGGGCAGCTCCACTTCGGATGCTTCCTAGAGTAGATGTTCTGGCTGGTGTCCATGGGGATGGAAAGGGAGAGGGACTTCCTTAGTCACTGCCACGCATGTCTTCCCCTTTATGGGAAAATGTCTGAGTGCTGGTCATTTTCAGACTCTAGGGAAGTGTCTAATTGCCTCCTGGAGAACCCCCACTTATAGAGAAGAAGACAAGGCTGTCAGAGAATCCAATGCCACATTTCCCAAAAAAGGAGGAAAGGCAGGCCCCAGGCGGGCCCTCAGCAGGTACAGAATTGGAACTGCCAGACAGACACACCTTTTCCCATGCTACAACCTTGGCTGCCATGCCCCGACTCCCCTTACTGCTGCTTCTAGAAGAAAAGGAAGGGAGGAAAATGCAGGAATTTTCCAGAAAGATCCAGAAACTCCCCCAAATTGCCAGAAGTCTCCAGGTTTGTATATTAATGCAGTGGCGCAGTGTAGTAATTTGCTCTAACTACCTGGGTGTGCCCTTGATTCTGGTTAGATTAGACTGAATCAACAAAGAAGCCACACAGAGTCCTCCAGTGCTGGAGCTGAAAAACCCCAGAGAGTGCAACGCTTTCATTTCGTGATTTTCTCATCTGTACAATGGGGTGGTAATAGCACCCACATCATAGATTGCTGTGAGGACTCAAAGACTCAGACCATATGAAATGCTTGACATGGTGCCTTCCACCTAGCAAGTGCTGCATAATGGCTAATGGTAATGAGGCCAATGATGAAGGCAAAGAAGAAACTACTCCTTGTCCAAGGTCACCTGGGCGACTTAGTGACAGAGCTGCAGTTAGAACAGGGGTCTCTCCAAGTTAGGCCAGGCTGGATTGCCTTGCTGCCAGTTCCTGGTGCTTTTGTATCTTCATGCCTCCACTCAGGCCCAGCTGAGCACCATCAGGGCCTCATCAGAACCAACAGTGCCCCCTGCAGGCCTTGGCCTCCTGGGACTGTTCAATTCAGGGCTGACGGCCTCTGGGAGCAGTGGGAATGTTTGCCTACAAAACAGGTTCCACGGAGTACTGCTGGGACGCTAGGGTTTTGCCTCCGAAGATGGTTCCCCCAGAATGAACAGTTGCCTTTTTCCCACCTCTCTCCTCTTGCCAATCTTCTTAGCAACCAGGATTAAGCACAAACATGGGAGTAGGGAACACGAGACCCGGGTTCCAGGGCGGTTCAGCCACTGGCTGCCTCTGTGGCTTCAGACAATTCCCCTGAGAGTCCTAGGTCTCTTTCTTAGAGACCTTCCAATGTCCCAGACAACTGCCAAGTCCAAGGATACCCCGAGCTCCTCTAAGCTCTAGCCAGCAGGAGTTCAGGACATACCTTGCTGCAGTGTGGGGTGATTTGGGCATCCCGGCAGCTTATTCAGAGGGTCCAACATCAAGTTCATTTCCTGCTCTCTCGTTCCTGCCAGCCCAGCTCAGTGCTGGGCCCTCCGCCTCTGCTTTCCCTCCACCACCTGTCTAGGGTGGTGTGGTCCAGGGTAGCCGCAGGCCCATG